ATAACACTATGAATATCACTCAATCAGGCGCAAGCCTCCAAGATTGATGTAAAGCTTGCTTGAGCCACCTTGGAGGGCTAATCCCTCTTGTCCGCAGCAGCCTTGATGCACCAAAACTTGGCTAGGATCAGTGACACTCAATAGCAACTATCTCCCTATCCTTAATCCAATCACCTTCCATAAAATAAAAAAATTCTCACTACTTTTGATCCTGTTTGGAGGACCAAAATACTGTTGCAGATTTTAAATTTCAAATAAAAAAACTTTACCAAATTCTAAAGTAAGAGAATCACTGATATTAACGCCTATCAACGAAAATTATTGTGGCACAGTGCAGGGCAGAAAATAAAACAATCAAGACAACTTCCCGGTAGGCTGCTAATTCAAGACTCAATGCATTTCTGCGAATCCAGGTAACAGGAAAACTTGGGCAGGAAAATGTTCAAAAAACCAAACAATAGTATATCTCCAACTTGGAGGAAACATGGAGTGAAATTTCCACTTTTTGAATAAAATAAAACAAAAGAAAAAACCGCTCAGGAAGAACGAAATTTGCGCAGACTCCAAGATGGCATCAGCAAAGCACACAACCCACAAACTTGCAGAGTGTTGCCAGCTGTAAAAATAAATCAACATAAAAGCATAGCAAGCTAAAAGAAAGAAAAAAACTATGGCTAAGAACAAAATTTGCGCAGACTCCAAGATGGCATCAGCAAAGCACACAACCCACAAACTTGCAGAGTGTTGCCAGCTGTAAAAATAAATCAACATAAAAGCATAGCAAGCTAAAAGAAAGAAAAAAATGATGGCGGTGGCAACCTTTGCCAGCCACTTCTTTCTCAAACTCCTGCGCATCCCTCCCCTCTTTCCCTGCATGTGGAGAGACCCCAGAAGCCAGCACCACCTCAGGCGCTAACCAAAGTATTGACTTTTGTTTCCGTAAAAATTAAAATAACCCAAAGTAGATTTACCATTAAGTATGCAACAGATATCCTTGCTGAAGCTGAGAACCAATCTCCTCTTCATATTTTTCAAAAAATGATGTAGGCTGTCTGCTGCTGTTTTGATATCCAAAAGATTAGGACTTTTCTGCTGGCATAAGACCTCCAGAGGCGCAGTTAAATTTTCAGCCTGCTCTATGATGTTTGAGATGCTAGTCATGCTGGCAATACAATTGCTCCCAGAGGCTATGGCTTTTCAAAAGTAGTTCACAAAAGGTTTTTTTTTTTACAAAAAGGAAAGCTGCAAGCTGGAGGCCTTGGAAAAATCCCATAGAATGGGAAGACAAGTTTTTTATTTTGAAGAATTAGGCACTGTTTTTTCTCTTTTAAACCAAGGAAGATTCCCAGAGAATTACCAAAAATCTCCACGGAAAAAAATTGTGCATGCCTTCAGTATGAGTTGCTTTGGGACCATTCCATCAATAATTTGTTGTAAAATACTTTCTCACATTCCCTTGCACCTCTAGCAGCTTTTTACAGCTGCTTGCTTTCTGTTTCTTGCCCTTGCAGATGTGTATTGCCACCCAGTCATGCACCAAGGGTTATGCAACCCTCCCTGAAATAAGGTCAGACCCAAGTCTGACCATGGTTGCCTAATTCTGTCCCAAAAAGTCTATCAAGATACCCATTTCTACTGTTGTGCATGCTCATTGCTGTTTGTTGTATTGCTGCTGACTGAAGTCTGTTGTACATATTTGTGGAATGCAGAATAAGCACTTCAACTTCTTTTATAAGAACTGAGGAGTTATTGAATTCAACCTGGTAACAGGAATAATTACCGTATTTACTCAAGTCCCACGCGCCCTTGAGTAAGGCACTCACAGGGGTTTTTCAGTTGAAAATTTTGAAAAAATCTTATCCCCAAGTAAGACGCGCACCCCAATTATTAGTGAATCTAAAACCATAAAATTTCAAAAATAAAAACAAAAAATTTGACTTTAGGTGTGAATTGAACAAAAATTTAATCAATTTTCAACTTTTTCAGTANGCGCACCCCAATTATTAGTGAATCTAAAACCATAAAATTTCAAAAATAAAAACAAAAAATTTGACTTTAGGCGTGAATTGAACAAAAATTTAATCAATTTTCAACTTTTTCAGTACAAAAATGTTTTATTCTTATATTTGTTCCAAATTTCTCCATTATAATTAGGTATAATGCACACATAACTTCTTAAAAATTTTGTACCCGCTTATGACGCGCACCCCTTTTTTTTCTGAAATTTGGGAAAAAAGGTGCGCATGGTACTCAAGTAAATACAGTATTCTCCTCACTAAAGAACTAGTCCAGATAATTACTTATAGAACTGGTAAGTTCAACAAATGGAAATACTTTGGAGACATCTAAAGTTGAATATATTCAAACATCAAAAGTAATTATCAAGACAAAAGATTTGGTGCAGTTGGATTTTCTTTTCAGGTGAAACAAAAAGGAAATTTGAAAATTTTCTTCAGGCATGCATAGGAATGCATCAACCTGACCATCTATGGAAACAGATTTTCCTTCTAATGTGGAAATCAAAATACAAGTGGGATTCAAAAGAATTTTGGGTTTCAGAACAAAAGATGAAATCAGAGAAACCTCTGAACCCGTATCAATTAAAAATTCAACAGGGAAATTAGAAATGGAAGTGGTCATGAGAATGACTGGTAGTCCCTTGAGGGAAGGGGGGCTGGAAACTCTGGTCTTTCCTAGTTTTCCAAGTCCCAACTTTCCTCATCCATAGCAGCAGCTGCATCTTTTACTTGCTGCTTTAAACGCTGTCTTTCCCTGTCTTGGTTATTTTTAACATGGTTCAGGAAATTTAAATGACGACATTCTACTCTCCCTACACTGGGGATGAGACTTCTGCTTCCAGAAGGAGATCTATTTCTTCAAAACCTATTTGGGCTTGACCTAGACCTTCCCCTGCCATGGGGGCTCTTGCTATTTCCGCGGGGGAGCTGTGGAAGTTATATAATCAAATTTTTTAATAATCAATTTTTTCTTAGAATTGAACATTTTTTAAATAATTCCCGGTCTCTGAATAGGAGCCGGCCTCAAATAAATGCCAGGGGGGGGGGGGCTGGGGTATTTTTTAAATAAATACCAGGGGCAACTATTAGAAGATATATGGTATTTGTATATTTGTTATAATGAAATATTTGTATATTTGTTATAATGAAATATTTGTATATTTGTTATAATGGACTATTTATATATTTGTTATAATGAAATATTTCTATATTTGTTTAAAAATAATATTTTTTCATATCAATATATAGTCATTTTAATGAAATATTTTTTAAAACAAAATCTTTGCTATACAAATATTGAATGTATAACAAAAATCAAACATTTGCGGTAACAAAAATGCATTACGTATAACAAAATATTTGCTATAACAAAATATGAAAAAATATTTGTTTCAAAAAATATAACAAGATATTTGTTAGAACAAAATATAACCAACTATTTTTTTAAACAAAATAGAAAACAAATTTATAAGAAAATATAATGAAATACATTTTTAAAAACAAAATACAACAAAATATTTGTTATAGCAAGTTATATGTGTTCACAAATGGGAGCCAACATATTTGAGGTATTTAGCTTCAGCTCCCTCTGGTCACTGCATGGGTCTCTAAAGTCCTCAGCATGGGCTTGCTCATGGGGGTTCATCATGGCCAGAAGTCTCTCCCACTGTCATGGGCATGGGGAACTGTGGGAGGCATGATGATCATGAGTGTGTCACTAGGGAGAACACAACATGACCATCATGCTTCCAGCTCCCAGCACGCCCTCAATTTTTGCTGGGGGGGGGGGGTTAATGGTTTTCAATAGTGGCCTCAAAGTGGTTGATGCAATTGTCTATATGCCCAAGGTATGAAATAAGGAATGTTTGTTTTTCATTGTGTCCGTCACAAACCTTATCTGCAGTCAATCTAACTAAAGGATATAATCTGTTGACTTTTTTGTCATTGTTCAATGCATTCAATCAACTCATTCGCATTAAATTCTGTGAACACCTTTTATGCTATCCGCTGCGGAAAGCCTCAAGTGAAAAGGACTTCCTGCGCAATTGCATATTTTTTTTTCACTGAAGGAAACAGGGCTTCAACAATTACCCTGAAATTTTACTTTCCCCCGGAATTCCCGCGTTTGCCCAACTCCACCGAATGAACCGTTGCTGAGTGTTCACCGCGGAAAAGCCCACCGCGGAACCCCACGCTGCCATCGAGGGATCTAGGGAGTTGCGCGAGTATCCCGTCGCGGATCGAACATGGTGCACAAAATGGCGCCCAGAAGGGGAAATGTAGTCTGGGCAGCAGAGGGGTAGTCGTGCCCCGCCGCTCCTCATGGTGGGGTAAAAGCCCTGCTGTTGCAGCGCGCTCAGTCACGGACGCGGCTCCTGACGCCTGACACTCGTGAGGAAAGTTACTGTATGCTCTGTTTAATCTCGAAACTCTCTTCTTTGGGTCTTTTCTTTTTGTTGTTTTTCTTGTTACTTCGTATTTTTCATGGCTCCCATCCGGTGGCTCGACTCGGATGTGTTTCGCGACTTGCGGCGCTAGTCTGATTCCTCCAGAACCAAAGCCTTATCTCTCGCGTTCGTCCTTGCTTCCTTTCCGGCGGCGAGCAAATCAGGGTGGCCGGCTTCTCCGGATGAGGCATTTAGAAAGAGTTTTGGTTTGTCCTTTTTTTGCTATGTACAATATATAAGTGCAGTGTGCTTCGCTGCTTTTAACGCAGTCATGAATTGTGCTCGGTATATGGAACCGTTTTGTTTGCGAGCTGATCAGATGGACAGGAAGGGAGGGGGATTCTCATAGTTCTCTAATTTGAGGAGAGGGCATCCCTGTCGCCGAATGCGTGTGTTTGCTCAGTGTGTTTGATTGGCTTTTTCGAACGGAAGTGGAGCGAAAGTGGCGCTATTGGCGCAAAATGTGAGCGAGGAAACTTGCGGAAGAGCAATTAATCTACCAGTGCACGGGCTGGAGCAAATATTGACCCGAGAACGCGGTCAGGGAAGCCGGTTTCCGAACGTGCTCCGCTTAGGCGCGATAGCCTGGCTCGGATCTGATCAAAGGTCTTCCCCCCCCCCTGGGGTCCAAATGGGTCGTTGGTGAGGAAGACGCCTCCTGGCAATGGTAACGATGAGCGCCAATAAGGCGCCGGGTCCAGTCGGACTCCAGACTGGGAACACCAAGCCTGGGAAGCCCAAGTGCGGCGACGTGTCCACGGGAGCCGAAGCGGCGACGACGGCGGCGATGGCGGCCAAGCAAAAGGCGTCGCCGACGCCCTTCACGGCGCCGGATCCGACAAGTATCAAGTCACCAGACCCGCAGACATCGCGTCCCGTTGCCTCGTCCTCTGCTGCATCTACTTCCGGCGCCGCCGCCGCGGCGTCGACTTCCGCCAACACCACGGGCTTCGTCGTCCCGTCGTATGACGAGTACCCCAACCAGATCGTCTACCGCAAGGTGAACCGTATTTCTAACTCTTGATTTTTTCTTCTTGTGTTCAGCACTTTGCTAACTCTTTTTCCTCTCTGGAGTGTACCACTTCTATAACAATTCAGTCGTCGTCGTCCTGAGTATTCAAGCACTGTGACTTAGTCTGCGAATAATTGCCCGAAGATATAATTTCACATTCAACTGCCACATTCTCATTTCTTTTCGCCTCGAATTCTGATCAATAGTGCATTAAAGTTATTTTAAACCTATGCACACACTCGCTGGGATTTTAAACTAAAGCCTTACTTTTGCAACAACCTGCGAAGATCCTTGAGGAATCGTCGCTACGTGACCATTATACTGGTTGAAAATACATTTTCCAGGGAGGGAGAGAGAGAGAGAGAGAGGATCCACCTGTGCGATTTTGTTTCCCGAAGTTACTGAGACAAGTGTCATAAAAATAAAGAGAAAACAATTCCCAGGTCCCCGAAGTTTTAGAGCTTTTGAATTGATTACCGGGAAATTGAATTACTTTCAAAGATAACATCAGGCGGGTCGAGAGCTTTTCTTGCTGACGTGAGCCATTTCTGAAGAGCGATGGATCTTCGTACAGGTTTCTTCACATTTCCTCGCTGTCAGCCTGCATTATTTTTATAATTCGAAGACGCAGTCGTGTAGACTCTTAGACCAGTGTTCCCCAACCTTTTTGGACCCGCGGACCGACAAATTTCCAAACAATTTTTTGTGGACCAGCAAATTTTCATGAACTTTGCGTGCTCAAGCAAGTGTTGCTTGGAAGATAGCATGAATGGCAGATATTGAAAAGCTTCTGCTTTTTTTAAAATTAATTCAGGATCCAGTGAAACAGCCATTTAGTGGAATGTCTTCAAAAAATGGAAAGGTGGGCTTGGAGAAAGGTTTTTCAGACTCGAAAATAAAATAAATCGTTAAATCAAGTAAAACTAAATCTGAAGTATCATTAGAAGAAAAGCCAAGAAAACATTTTCATGAGATAATTTCAACTGCCATTGTCTTGCCAAAATTAAAAAGTAAAGATACTGTAAAGTCCTTCATTACTACTTGTGAAAAATTCATCAGCCTGGAGAAATTTCCCGTTGACCGGCGCCGGTCCGCGAACTTTCTTTTAGTGAATCGAAATACAGATAATTTCAACTGCCATCGTCTTGCCAAAATTAAAAAGAAGAAAATTATCATTAGAAGAAAAGCCAAGGTAACATTTTCATGAGATAATTTCAACTGCCATTGTCTTGTCAAAATTAAAAAGTAAAGATACTGTAAAGTCCTTCGTTGCTACTTGTGAAAAATTCATCAGCCTGGAGAAATTTCCCGCGGACCGGCGCCGATCCGCGGACCACGGGTTGAGGACCACTGCTCTAGACTAGAGAATATACAGTATTTCCTGTGGTCTGCAGTTTTTCTCTCTGATTTGACTCTTTGTTTTGGAACACGAAGTCCTAAAATTCTTTTGCCACGAAGGCTATGGTATATTTATCATCCTTTTTCTTGACGTAATTCTTTCGATTTTTTCTTGGTACATCACAGAAGAAAAATGTAGAGCCTCTGTCTCTGAATGATCAATCAAAAGGTAGTGTAACACTGTTTTCCCCTTGCCCAGAACTCTACGTTTCATCGGCTTCGAGAGGTTGTAATGCTGTAAAATTGAGATTTTGTGCCGTAATCCAGCATCATTTTCTTCCTTTTTCTCAACGTAATTCTTTCAATTTTTTTGGTACATTACAGAAGAAAAATGTAATGCCACTGTCTGAATGATCAATCAAAAGGTACTGTAATACTATTTTCCCCTTTCCCAAAACTCTACGTTTCATCGGCTTCGAGAGGTTGTATTTCCGTAGAATTGAGATTTTGTACCGTAATCCAGCAATTGAATGGAAAATGCCATTGGGAGGGTGGGAACTGTTCAGCATTCGATTTAGTGGGATTCGGATTCCAGTGAGACGTGCAAAAATCTGTGTGCTGATTGTCGAATGACGAGATCAGAATTGTTTTGAAATAATGTACGACGAGTTACTGCGAAGCTCGCAGAGCCGTTCGGGTGCTTCGATCAGTCCCACGTACTTTTCGATGGATTCGTTCTTTTAGCGGAAATTTCCGTGCTGCGTTATTTTCTTTCTTTTAGAAACTGTGTACGATACTCCTTGGCTTATCTTGAGTACTCTCGTGTGTGAAATTGATTCAAAACGAAAGCCCGTGCAGAAGGGGATCCCCCGAATGCCCGGAGCGCAGCGAAACGAATCTTCGGTACCAATCCTCGCCTCTTATCGATGAAAATGAGCTCTGAAAATTCAAACCCTTCTTGTCTGAGTGACAATTCCTCGAGAGTTTCCTTTCTTCTTTTCTACCTCTTCACGCTCGGTGTAGATGGAGAAGATCGTGGAAAAGATGCAAGACGAGAAGCAAGGGATTCGGGTGCGGACGGTGAAAAGCCTGAGGTCGAAAATCCCGTCTGTCTTCACGGGTAAGCCTTCAGTTCTATATTTCTCTCCCTTCGTGCCCTGAGCCATTCAGAACTCGTGTCTTGCGACGCAAGACTCACCGAAGAGTTTATTGTTCTGTAGGCTCTGCTTCCTTATCATTGAAGCAATGTCTCTCGTGTTTCTCCTGGGCTAAATTCAGACGTATTGCTTGAGTTACTTACTGGAACATAACCGACGAGTTCACTGGAGTCGAAAAGAGTTAATGTGATGTAGATAAAATCTTTACTGTATTTCGATTCACTCAAACATGGTCAAAACTCAAAAGGGGTTGCCTTCATCAGGAACATGAGAAAAAATAGTCATACTGTGTTTTGATTAAAACTGATGAACCTGGAGCCTCATCGATGTTTGTACAATGTAGGTTCGTCCCACTCGAGTGCGACCTTGGTTATTTCTGGAATAGGTACCACTTTGAAAGAAAGGATAAAAAAACGAACATGTACCCCATGATGTTGCAAGGTTCTTAGCCTGTTTCTTCTGAATTTTTTTTTTTCAATTTACTGCGTGATGATGATGGAAATTTTCCAATCACCGCCAGAGTTTTCTGGGTACTTTACTGTTATCTCAGTACCCATTTTTCTTTGTCTGGTGAATTCAGTATTTGTTAGGTTAGGTTAGGGCAGGTTATGTTAATTGAAAGATATTTGTAACTAACATAACCTGACCTAACCTAACTTTATCTAACCACCTCCCAAAATCAGTTTCAGCAGAATGCGGAAAAATAAAATTCGCAGTTTCTGGTAGGTGCACAGAAAGTAGGTACTGAGATAACAGGAAAGTACCGTTTTCTCCCCACATCACAGGGTGCTACAAAATGTTTCAGCCAGCCAAAAAATTAAAATAATAATTCAGCCAATAAATTTCCAACATTTTGAATGTTGGTTAAAGCAGCAAGGAAATTCGAATTTTCAGCTGGCCTGACAATATTTTGGCCCTGAAAAAAAAGGTAAGATTTTTGGCTGGCTGGAATTTTTTTTTTGTAAGCTGTGACACAGGCGAAGAGCTCGGGCTGTAACTAGAAACGTTTCACATACAGTATTATCAAGCAGTAACCTGAAATAAAATTTTAAATCAGAAAAGTAATCCCGGAATCTTACAAAATCATGAGCTATACGACTTGTTTAGTCATACCCACTCTAGAAATAACGAAGGTCACGCCCAAGTGGGGAACCGCTCGTATGTTACTACAGTACAATACTGTATATTATTGCTCATGCACAAAGTTAATACAGTATACGAGAGCAGATCGAGCTTGGCACAGTGCCAAATTGAAGTGACACTTGACCATACGTGGATAGTTCATAATCTGGAATTTCTAAAACGTGTCTTGTGCATGACGAAGTACAGTATATGAAGTTTTCTTGACGAGTTTGAATCTAGAATGCGTCAATATCATTACCGTGAATTCGTAGGTTGGCTAAATCAAAATCTGAGTTAATCTTTCGGATCGCTAATCATTTTTGGTTGGGATTGAGCCTCTCTTGAATTACGGTAGAATGTAGATTATCCGAGCTCTGGTTCTGATGAATCTCAGATAAACTGATGTCTTCCATTTTTATCATTTTAATGCATTTCTGTCTGATGACGTGGAGTGGGATGTTTGGGAATGTTTTTTATCTTGCGTCATTTTGCTCAGATCAATTATTTCTATCCGTTGTTCACATCAATTACATTTTAATTATTGTGCGTCTGGATGGTCAACCGAGTTCTCCTGTATCAGGAATCCAATTTCAAGACTAACTGAGGAACGATTTTGCTTCGAACCCCATCAGGAGTGAAAGCGAGGGTTAACCGAGTACTCATGTGTGTACATATATATTTTTGTTTTCTCAGAGCAGATTTATTTCTTTTTTGCTTCGGGATCTCCTGTAAGAAAAAAAAAACAGAGGAGAGAGAGACTTCTCGGGTTAATCGTGCTTGCTTTGCCGTCGCTCGTAATTATCCGAGCTGAGATCGTAACACGTGACTGCTGGGTTGTCGGGAACTGCCGTGATACTCTGGTGCTGTCGCGAACGAACCATTCTGATTCCGTGCTTGGTTTTCTTTTCTTTTCTCTGGTATCGGAACGCAGGAGCTGAGCTGGTTGCGTGGATGCAGCGAAGCTTGAACATCGAGGAACAGGGTGAGTCAAGAATCTGAAAATGAGGAATTTTACCCGGGTTTCTTTTTCTCGCGGCAATTGTGGATGCAGTGCAGCAGTGTTCCCCCAACATGTGGCCCACGGACCGACGCTGGCCAGCAGAGGTTTTCTTCAGCATAATGAATTTATCAGAAGTATTATCTTTATCTGACATTTTGGAAAGACAATGCCAGTTGAAATTATAATTTATTTAAATTTTTCAATCCGTGAGAGCTTTCTTCAAGCCCACCTTTCTATTTTTTTTGACAGCATGCTATAGCTGCTCCATTGCTTCTTAGCTTGATTTTTGCAAAACAGCAGAAAATTTTAAGCTACTGTACCTGCCATAAAGTCTCTCAAAGAAAACTGTTCTAAAAAATGCTATGAAACTCTGTTATCTTTTTCTGAACTTTTGAAAAGACAATGGCAGTTGAAATTATAATTTATTTAAATTTTTCATTCTGTGAAAGCTTTCTTCAAGCCCACCTTTCTATTTTTTTTTGACAGCATGCTATAGCTGCTCCATTGCTTCTTAGCTTGATTTTTGCAAAATCGCAGAAACGTTTAAACTTCTGTAACTGCCCTAAAGTCTTTCAAACAAAACTGTTCTGACTCTGCAAAAATTCTATGAAACTCTGTTATCTTCATCTGAAATTTTGAAAAGACAATGGCAGTTGAAATTATAATTTATTTAAATTTTTCAATCCGTGAGAGCTTTCTTCAAGCCCACCTTTCTATTTTTTTTTTACATCATGATATAGCTCCTCCATTGCTTCTTAGCTTGATTTTTGCAAAACGGCAGAAACTTTTAAACTACTGTAACTGACATAAAGTCTTTCAAACAAAACTGCTCTGAGTCTGCAAAAATGCTATGAAACTCTGTTATCTTTATCTGAAATTTTGAAAAGACAATGGCAGTTGAAATTATAATTTATTTATACTTTTCATTCCGTGAGAGCTTTCTTCAAGCCCATTATTCTATTTTTTGATTGCTGCTCCATTTTCTTAGCTTGATTTAAGTGAAACAACAGAAATTTTTTTTTAACTACTGTACCTGTCATGAAGTCTCTTAAAAAAACTGTTTTGAGTCTGCAAAAATGCTATGAAACTTTGCTGGATCCGCCCAATTTTTTCATTTTTTTTATTTGCTCATCCACAAAAGTTGTAATGAAAATTTGCTGGTAAATAAATGGGCCCAAAAAGGTTGGGTAACACTGCAGTACCGCACACTGTACTTGAAAAGGGTTTTACAATGACTCGGAAAAGGCTAAATTTTGCTGCGAAGTATCCGTTAATCTTCTTGGCAAATCGCGTGTTGAATTCAGTGCTGTTTTTTGAAGTCGGCAAATCGTGAAAGCAATGGGTAAGAAATCATTGATTTCATATCCTGCCGGCGGCGGAAGAAGAATATTATAAAATTTATCGCCAATGACCGTAGGAAACAATTCAAGCTTACCAATGTGGCCGAAGTTTGAAAATTCAGTTGGGCCTAGCAAAATCCAACGTCCCAAGTTGTCCATAAGTCGAATTTTTGTCCCCTTCCTGCGCAAATTCCCAGCAGAACCATGTGCATTATTATAGAACCACCTTAACTTGAAAGCATTTCCCCAATAAAACCTCTCGAAGTCAAATTTCTCGCCGGAGTTTGGGATGTTACGGTATTTTGTGCACCCTGGAAATACAAGTAAACAATGATGTAACTTGATGCTTTTCAAAATGAATTGAGAAACTCAATTGTGCAAATTCACCCTTGCCTCTCAAATTCAGCCAGCACCCTGTCAACTCCTTCATTCAGCAGTTGATGGCCCGGAAAATCTCAAATGTTGCCTTTTCTGACATAAAATGCTGATTTCCTATACTTTGGAACCCCTTAAGTTGCGTTTGTTCGTGAGTCCTCAGTTTGACTTAGAGAGGGTTGATCTTATTCTGATTTACTTCATCTCGTGAGTGCACTTCGCTTAATTTTTTTCTGCGATCCCGCCTTGGGATTCCCATGGAGGGTCTGGGGGAAATTGTAGGATTCAGCCTTGCAAATGCCGATTTTTCCCAGATTTTGGCACGGGTGGGGTTTCGGTGACCTTTCAGTCAAGTTAAAATTCAGCATGATGCTGGCATCCCTAAGGGATAGAAAATTTTTCTCCGTCGTCCGAGGAATACGAAAATTTTTCAAAATTAGAACTTTTTCTTGTGTGGAATGTGCTTTTGACAGAAGAAAAATCAGAATCGGAAAATGTTTCGTTCGTCTTTCATGGAGTTGTTTTTTTGGTAACTATGAAAAACAAATCCCAAAATTTTGTCGCTTATTGGCTTTAGCCGACAAGTGTTTTCATAACGGAAGAAAGTTTGAAAATAATTTACTATCTTTTCTGAACTGAAAGTTGAAACAGCGAGATTTTCTAGCGTCATTGAATTCGTATTGTCCGATGCCAAAAGTTTCCGTGCGATGGAAAACTTCTCGCATTTAGGGATCCTTCATTAGTACAGTACAGTAAAGTAGGATCTCGTTACAACGAAGTCAGTGGGACCAGTAAAATAGTTTCCTTCTAAAAAAAAATCGTCATGAAATAACTCATTTAAAATTACAGTTACTGTTTTGGACAATGACCTGAAAAGGACTTCGTTGTAAGCGATTATTTGTTGTAACAAGATTCTACTTTCCACCGTAATTCATTTTTTTCTGATTCAACGATCAAATCTCAACGTATGATTGTTATCCTAAATCACAAGAGAAGTATCTAAAGACACTTTTGTCTTTGGAAAAATGTCTCTTCCCAAAGAATGATTAATCTAAAAAAGGTAAACTCTTAAGAATAACTTCAAGACAAGATTTAGTTCTTATGGCCGTGGTTTGAAAGTAAATACAACTTCTCCATTTAGAGTAAGCCATGATAAACACCCTGAATGGACAGATGTATGAGTGACAATGAAGAAACAGTCGGGTCAGAAGTTTTCGAAAATCAGGCATTAACTCTTCACCAGCATGGTGTGTTTTGATTTTGAGCTTGGATTTGTTTTCATTCAATCAAAAGAATCAGTAAAAAAAAGAAAAATATGAAGGCAATACAGTATAAATGTTGCCGTTGACTTGGATGCTTTCAGCACATCTATGTTCATGGCATATTAGGTCCGTCGGAAACTTACTGATTATCTTATGAAGCAATCCATAGGTTCGCTCTAGTCCTCGATGGAATGTTTGCACAATCGAGTAATGGAAAAAGCTCTTCCTAAGCTAGGATAATGGCAACGTCGTAGACGCGTATTTGAGTTATCTCAAGTACCCTCGCACCGTCGCCGCCGTAAAAGCTTGTTAAGTACTTCAGCCTCTCTTGCTGAAAAACTACTCCGGAAAGCTTCCTGAAGAAAGAGATTCACATTCTCGCTGTACTTTTATCGTGTGCATTTATCGGCTCGGGACGAGGGGATTCGCCGTACTTCGGATTGTTTGCTGATGGGGAGTGATTCGGCGAATGGGAATTTCAACAACGTCTCAATTATTTGAAGACACGAACGTACTGTACATTCTTTTCGCTGGGATTAGGAATGAAAAAATACTGTCCTTCTCTTGTTCACGAGTGGGTATATCATCTATAAACTGCTGTAAATCTCTGCTTTTTGAGCAAATGCCATATTTTAGAGAGCGGGGTTGTATGCTTACCCAACATTGGAGACGAACCCCAACCTCCTCAACCTCTTTGGGCCCGTGGACCAGAAAATTTCCATAAAATTTTCACGGACCGGTAGATTTCCGAAAAAAAATCTTCTGCGGACCAGTAAAGTTACATAAAATTGTTGCAGACTCAAATAAGTTTTGCTTCTAAGACTTCATGGCCGATATCCAAAATGTTTCTGATTTTTGTAAAAAAAAAAATCGAGTTAAAACCCAATTCAGCAGCTATCGTGGAATGTCTTGGAAAAAAATAGAAAGGTGGGCTTCAAGAAAGGTTTTCCAGAACTTATGTATTTCATTAGGAGAAAAATTCTGTCTAGTGTTTTTAGGAGAAAAGCCAATATTTATAATTCATGAAATAATTTCTACTGTCTTTGTCTTGCCAAAATTACTGGTGAAGATTCTTTAACATCCTTCAGCACTACTTTTGATCAATTTACTATGGTGAAGAAAATTTCCTGCGGACCTGTAAAAAACTACACAATGAATCTCAAGTGGTCAAGAAATCGCTGTTATAGAGACGAAAAATAAAGTAACTCGCCATGTCCCGAAAAAAGTACATTTGTTGCAAGAACTGGTTGATTGTAACAGTTTGAAAGGAGATAGTTCCTGATGCTCAATTCTTCAGAATTTACGTTTTGACATGAACTTATTTTATTTATAATTGGTTCAAGCTCGTCGAGCATGACTCCGATTATCTTCAAGGCCATTTTCGGGAAGCATCAACACAATACAGGTGCTCTCTTCACAACGAAATTCAATTCAAGGGACCAGAAAAAAAATCGTCCTAGAGAGAATTTCCTTGTGGAGAACCCCTATGACATGGGGAGATAACCCTGGGGAACCAGACATATTCTGCATGCGAAGAAAATTGTTGTGCACGAGATCCTTGTCGCGAGAGTCCACCTGTGAAGTGTATGTTAGGCAGCTATTAAACAGGCTTAGACATACAATGGGGCCTCGAGCAACGAACCTAACCCATTTATGCGTTGTTCCTCAAGAGCATTCTTTATGCAGGGCACGATTTCCCATAGTCTGTATAATCTCGTTAAAACAAAGCGTTGGGACCTCAAAAAAGCCTTATGAACCAAAATTCGTTAAGAAAAAATTGATTTAAAATTGTGGCTATCGAACAGAGGTGAAAAAACTCATGATCATGAATCCGGTTTGACATAATTTGTAGAGAGATTGAACCTTAGTAAACTTTTGGAAATCTTTGTATTGGTTCCAGAGAAAAAATCAAGGTCAAGTTGAGAAAAAAAACATGACAAAGAAAATTTTAATTAAAAAAAATTATAAACATGCAAAATTAGAAGCTCAAGATTCCCTCAAGTCTTCAATTTTCCATTGAACTGAAAACTTTTTTCCCGATCGTTTCCCCTATTAGGGAATTTATTGTTGTGAAATCATGAAATTTCATCATTTTTGGAATTTCAGAAGAACATTTTTTCAGGATTGTTGAACATTTATTTCTCCCTTGACGTGAAGGTTTGTTCCTCAAGTCATGTTCTTGACTTCAGGCAAAATGATGTCCAAAGCCATACACTGTTTGTTATATGTTGAGGAATTAATTAGCCCAGCATGAAGAATTGAACAATAGCACAGTGGAAGAAAAGGTGGGAAATAATAAGGCAGGGCAATCAGCCAGTTTGCAGCCAGGAATATGTAATTAAGGGGCACCGTAATTACATACCCCTAGTTTTGTCTGGTTTAATCACAGTCCACAATAAATCACAATCAAACACAATACAAAAATGATACATCACAATAAATACAATGATGCAACACACATTCAATAAAAACAATGAATTTGTGCACACAAATTTAGGGTGCAATAATGCAATGCAACAATTCAATCTATCTGAAGAATTGGGATTGGAATATTTGGAGGAAGTTCAGGGTAACAGCTAATTTTAAGGACTGATCATTGGGAGTGGAAGAGTGCTGGCTTTTTATGCAATTTAGCACAATGCTTGTCAGCTGACCTGACTGAAGCATTGGACTTTTTTCCTTGCCTGTCATTGGTGGAACAAATGTGCATTCAAGAAGTCCTGCATCCGGGGAACGGATGCACAAAAGAAAACGGACCAGAATCCAGGTCCTGGGACCTGATGTCCCTGGGCCGGAGTTCTGGTTCCCCAACATTATGCAAGACGTTCCTATGACGTTCGTTGCTCAAGCACCCTCTATTGTACTGTATTCTCTCACTGGCATCTGTCGACTGACTGACTGAAACGCTTTCCATTACTGAAGCCGACAGCGAAGAAAGAAAAAAATAAGAGAGGAAAACTCTTGTGGACGACAGTCTTGAAGACTCAACTGAAGAGTGAAAGAAGTTGGGGGGGGGGGGGGGGGGGAACAGAACTGCTCTGAGATTGCCCTTCGCTTATTTGTCGAACCCGGGGAGGGTCAATATCGTTCATCTCCGATTCAACCCGCGTTCCCCGAATGAATGGCGTTTGCAATACTCGTTACAGCGGATTGCTTGCAGTTGGCCTGTCTCATCGCTGCCCACGGATATTTCTTCCCCATCGATGACCACGTCTTGACGGTGAAGGGCGACGGAACGTACTATCGCTTCCAGGTTAGTCCTCGTGACTTTTGTGCAGTCGCGGAGGGAAATTCGGCACAGTACCAGTACCGTATCTCCCCCCTCCCCATTGGAAATTAGGCTTGGGAAGTAAGGTGCTTGTGATATACTGGAGTATGCATCCCTTCTGAAATTAAAAAAAAAATGTTCATTGTTCACTTCCTATTTGGATGAAAACATCCTGTGTAGTTTAAGGAAATACTTTTTTTTTAGAAGATGCTGTCTTAAACCAGTCTAAATTCTGTTTCAAGAATTGTTGATCAGACAATTTCTCAAGAATTTGACCAGGAACAACTTTTGTGTTGAAGGGTTAAATTGTTTTCTGCACATTTTTGAAGAGTCGCAAATAGACTTCAATAATCTTTACAAGTGAGGTTTTTATTCCATTTCACAAAGCATGGAATGTGTGAGTGGTGGACAACAAGGTTTTCATGCAAGAGTTTGGTCAGAGTAAACTTTACATAAGACAGTGGACACTCATATGCATAGACAATTTCGTTTGAGGTCAATGCCAAGCATAGCAACCAATTTGGATCTGTGTTGACATACTTGGTTGAGTAAAAACCAAGGTGAAAGGCATAAAACGTAGGAAGACATTTAAAAGGAATTAAAAGGTGTGGTTGCGCATTTGATTAACAATGCAGAACAGAACATGAAGCAGACAAGGGAACATAACAAAGTGCAGCATATTGTAGTCATGATATTTATTGGACTACAAAGAGAAGGAGTGAAAATATATGAGGGTTGTCCCACTCCCGCGCCCGGAGAAAGAAATAAATTAAATTAATAAATTAAATCAAATTAAATTCAAAATTTTTCTTCTGATGTTTTAGACACCTGCTATTTTTAAAATTTCATTGAACATTTTTTCGAGACACTGCATGATGAGGAAAATGTGCGGGAAGAAATTTGAAAGTTTTCACTTTTCATTTCTTTGTGCAGTACATTTTATACCTGGAATACATTCAGTTACATTTAAAAAGATATTATTTTTCTGTGAAGTAAAATATCGTCACATTTAGTGACAATTTTAAATAATTTGGACGATTAACGTCTCTGTTGAAGCAAAAACGTTGAAAAACGCAAAACGTTTTGGGGGTGGTAATGTCTATCAGATGTTAATCCACAAATTTGTCCGTGTCAAGGGTAAAATTTTAACATTGAATTTTATTTTCAGTGGCTTGAAGTTTAATTTCAAGTTCAAGTCTAACTGGAAGATGAAAATATAAAGCACAAAAAAGTACAGTACAGGGCAATCGAATTCCAATTTTATTGCAAAAATCTCGAATTTTGTCATGCATTTCCGAAAACAAATTGATTTTGTGTCACAAAAATGCGCATCTTACGGATGGATCGATATTTTTAAAAATATTTTCCTCTACAATTAACGTGCTCATCTTCCTTCAGGATGACGAAGTTTACCGGAGAACACCTAACTTGCTGGAATAAGAAATAGAACCGGTCAGGGCTCATCTGGAACTAAAAGATATGCTTAATTCAATGCTGCGAAGAACTTACAAATCAAATTCCTCGTGGAATCCTCTCACTTTCGTTGTATGTCGTTTATCTGCCTTGAAAATTCCGTGAAACAAAAATTCTACGTTCCTAGTCTCCAGAGTAATCTTTTCCTTCACGAATGGTTTTTTTCTTTTTCTGTGATGAAAATATTGCATACGAGGGTTCTAACAAAATTTCTCGGAGTAGCAATGAAAATGGCCTACAGTTGAGCTGAAAAAGATTTATTCTTTAGGGAAAACATATTCTTTGGCACACAAAAAATATCAGCCCTTTTTGACAATTTTTTACAAACTTTTTTTCATAAGTCACCCTGGCAGAGTTTTGCTCTCCACTCAGAAGATGAGGCGCCCTTTTTTTGTTGCAGCCCAGCTTTCCCCTCAGAATTCTTGAAATCAACGTGGCATTAATGCCAAGGGTTGCCTCCAGGTCATCCTAGGCAATTCCGCCATTGGAAGATCTGGAGACACCCCTTAGAAAGAATGCCAAGTTGATTTCAAAAATTCTGAGGGGAAAGCTGGGCTTCAATAAAAAAGGGCGCCTCATCTTCTGGGTGGAGAGCAAAACTCTGCCAGGTTTAATTATGAAAAAAATGAAAAAAAAAACTTGTCAAACAGGGCTGATATTTTTTTGTGTGCCAAAGAATATGTTTTCCCTAAAGAAAAAAATTTTTTCAGCTCAACTGTAGGCCATTTTCATTGCTACTCCGAGAACTTTTGTTAGAACCCATAGAGCTCAATTATCGGAAAATAAAACGGAAGACTTGTCGGGAAACACGGAAAATTTTTCAAAAAAGGTAAATCCCACGTTTTCTATCAACTGCGGTATCAGATTACCCGGAAGCCACAGACATGCTCTGTTAATGTCCGTCATGTCGAAGAAATGATGGAAGTCCCTCATTGTATTACTCCTCGAAGCAATCTCACAAAAAACATTACTGAATCGTGCCAAATATGCATCAATCATGAATTGTTGACACACGCCCTTTCTATACGTGATGTCGACTCTCCCCTTTATTCTTCTGCAGTGTGTGCCACGGCAGGCATCAGTAATTTGACACCATAACTGGCTCATGTGCACGACTGAAATGATCAGCTGGTTCTCTAGTCCAGTTACCTAACCTTGTTGGGCCCGCAGACCCGCAAATTTCCTTCCTTTTTTTCACTGGCGAATGTCCATAAATTTTTTTGCGAGTCGACAAATTCCCATGAAATTTGTTGCATACTGGCAAATTTCCAAAAAAAATTTGCGGAATGGCAAAGTTTCAGAACATTGTAGACACAAAAATTTTTGTTTGAAAGACTTTATGGCAGTTATTTAAAAAGTCACTTGACTTTTTGCAAAAGTCAAGTTGAGAATTAATGAAGCAGCTACAGTAGAAATGTCATCAAAAATTAGAAAGGTGGGCTTGAAGAAAGGTTTCCAAGAATTAATTTAATTATTTCAGCAAATGAAAATTTGTCTGAGGTGTTGGAGGAAAATCCAACTTGTATTTTCCATCAGATAAATTCAACTACCGTTCTCTCTCCAAATTTTCAGATAATGATGACTGACTTCATGGCTGTTTTTTGATACATTTTGAAGTACAGTATTAGTACTTCGGGTGTTTTTGCCTTTTCCTCTCAAAATTTCAGTCCTACATGCTCAAAGATCCATGAATCTTGCTGTAACTAATTTTTTCTCAGATCCTTGGGAGTTCGTTGTATCAAGCTGAAAATTTTGGTTGTGAGTTTTTAGTGTAAAATAAAAAAAATATCGACATCGAGATGCATTGTCTCTCTTATTTACTCTTGCTGATTTTGGCAGGCGTTGATCTGGGTCCCGTTCAGCTGACCATCACTTTCTAGGGCTATAAATAAAGCGATTTGTTGCGCAAGTTGTGCGAAATTATGCTCATCTGCTTGAATATTGAATTCGCAAAAGCGTGATTCCGCACCGCAAGTGAGCAGCACTGAACGAGAAATAAATGCGTATTTTTTTCCGCTTGCCTTTTCAGACTCCCTATTACTGGCCGTCCAACTCGTGGGAACCGGAAAACACGGATTACGGTAAGAATCCTTCGACCCCCCTGCATTTGAACAGTACATTAGTGTTCCTCAATTTTTTTGGGCCCATGGACCTGCGAATTTCCACACTAAAATTTCTGCAGATTGGCAAAGTTTCTTGAAATTGTTGCAGCCTGAAGAAAGTATCTGCAAAACTTGATGATAGGTACCGAATTTAAAAGTCTCTGCTTTTTGCAAAAATTATGTCAAGGACGAATAAAGCAGTTATAGTGGAATTTTGTTTAAATTGTAAAGTTGGGCTTGTGGAAAGCTTTCTCAGAATGAATAATTAAAAAAAAACAAATTCAGCAGGGGAACAATTGTCTGTAGTTTTATTTGGAGAAAAGCCAACTTCAACAGGCATTGTCCTTCTGAAATGTCAGATGAAGAAAAGCAGACTTCATTGCTACTTCTGACAAATTTATTGGTGTGGGTGAAATTCACCGCAGTTGAACTTGCCGCACTTCAACTTGCCACACCCTAACTTGCTGCTGCTGCAACTGACCACACCCTGAAGTGACTGCAGTCACAAGTTGCCGCAATCATTTCTCACCCCAGTCACAACTTGCAGTAGTTATAAGTTGCCACTCTTTCAACATGCTGTACTTGAAGATTAATTCAGACAGTTCTAGAACTTTTTAAAACTTAATTCACAGCAGAACATGTTTGCAATTGAAAAAAATGTACATGGAAAAAACATTACCATCAAAAATAAAATGCGCATCATTTAGCCACCAATAGTACTAGTTCAGGATGAAGGAAATCATTGAAGCCCCCTCTATATATTCTAAAAATTTTCAAACAGCAGAATGCCTATAGTTAAGAAGTGGAAGAATGTGGGAATTTTTTTTTTCCTTTTATTTTAGACAATGAAATGGCAAGTGGCTGCAATTCATATGGCAAATTGTGATAGCAGCAAGTCATTACAGTGGTGAGTTCTTGCAGCAGCAACTTCCACCTGCGGTGACTTACCACAGCGGCAAGTTAACACTGCAGCAGGTTGTGACAGCAGCAAGTTAACACTGTGGCAGGTTGGGTGTGCAGCAAGTTCAACTGCTTGCAGCAGGTTGGGTGTGCAGCAAGTTAGAAAGTGGCAAGTTTCACCAACATGACAAAGTATTCCTCAAAAGCTTTGTAAGATTAGTGTAATTTGAACTGTTGAGCATATTATGTCTCTTCAACTTTCACCAAAAGTTTGAGTCAAATTTCAAGAACTTCAAAATTTTTTGGGGGGGGTGAAATTTGTACTTTGAAGCATAATCAATATTCAATGGAAGGCATCAAATTCAGGAATCGAATAAAGTATATGAAGAGCTATAAAACACTGTGAAATGTTAACTGATTCATTTTAAATTTTAAACCAGACATGCACACAATTCACTATAGCTGCTGGAAGGACACTCACCATGGCATTGCAATTCAGCCACCAGACATAATCCCAACCATGTTAAAATAGTCTTCATGAATCCTGCCGCAGACAAAGAGGAATTCTCAGGCAGGAGGTAGTTTCAGCTTGCTAGCTAGTCGGGAAGTGAGCAAAATTTGAGTTGCAAAATTTGATCCAGACAAACAAACGGACAAGTAGGCGAGTTAATAAAAACGTGTTAATTAAAAATTGTACAATACAATAATATGGAAAAAACCTTAGCATAAAAAATAAAATGCACATCATTTAGCCACCAATTCATTTCAGTGGTGAGCTGTTGCAGCAACAACTTCCACCTGCAGTGACTTATCACAGCGGCAAGTTAACACTGCAGCAGGTTGTGACAGTGGCAAGTTCAACTGCATGTGGCAGGTTGGGTGTGCAGCAAGTTAGAAAGCGGCAAGTTCCACTGACACGGAATTTCTTATGCTGAAGAAAATTCCCTGTGGATAGGCAAAAAACGTCTGCGGACTGGCGCTGGTTCGCAGACCCTGGGTTGCGGAACACGTTAATGCAGTGCAGTAAAGCACACTACACTACGTACGTTGCTGAACGCCATGTACTTTTTTTTTTTTTGCAGCCGTGTATTTGTGCAAACGCACTATGCAGAACAAGACCAAGATGGGCCTCGCGGATTACGAGGCGGAGAACCTGGCCCGGTTGCAGCGCATGTTCAGCAGGAAGTGGGAATTCATTTTCATGCAGGCCGAGGCCCAGGCGAAGGTCGACAAGAGGCGTGATAAGATGGAGCGGAAGATCCTCGACTCGCAAGAGCGGGCCTTCTGGGACGTGCATCGTCCGGCTGTGAGTACTGTACTGTACTAGTGTACTGCACCGTGCAATTAAGGGTCCCTGTTCAACGAAACTGTCGTGTACACTCGTGTCGGGCGTGAATCAAACTGGATGTTTATTCAGATACCTTTCGTCGAAGCAGTAATTAATTACACTGTTGTGAAATTAATGCATGCAAGTAATTACAACCGAATGAAATTTAATGAATGAATGAATGAACAGAACACTTTATTTGCCGCTTTTCAGCGTTCACAAAGGTTCAATCAAGATTTCCACAACCAAACTCCCTTCCAGACCGGTTNTGAACAGAACACTTTATTTGCCGCTTTTCAGCGTTCACAAAGGTTCAATCAAGATTTCCACAACCAAACCCCCTTCCCACCCAACCCAAATCCACTCAATGACATTTTAATCACTTCAGAGCAGGAAACAGAGCACAAATTGATAACAAAAATAAAAGAAAGTACAATCCACGAAATACAACTGGACACCTGACATGTATGCATACACCCATTCATTCCCTGACATTGGAAACAAAAGATATGTAAAAATTAATTTAAAGCAAAAGGTCTTCAGCTTGTTTCTGCATGAGGTTTAATTGAATGAACAAATTAGAGATAATCTTTGATGAGAAATCATATATATCCAACAGTTCATGAAATTTAATGAAATTTAATTTCCAAGGAGTTGCTCAAACCTTTTCATGAGGGACCCCCTTTGATCTGTCCATTTTCCCAGACCCACCATGTTGAGTCACAGGCATCAGGAACGAACTGTGAACTACACTAGGGGGCAACAATGACGCTGAAGACATTATTTCATCATGCGAACGTAATGTAATCCATCCCCGGGATTTTCTCTGGGGCTATGGAAGCAGCATCAGCAGCCCTTCCATTTCTTCCTGCGAACACCCATCACAGAAAAAAATTAGTAAAGGGCAAAAAAGTACAGTGCGGTAATTTGTTGTACAGTAGTTACAATCCGCATCTGCGAGCCTGAAATACGTGGCGGAAACATTAGTAGGGTTTATGCGGAATGGTAAACTTCCAGCGCTACGGATTTCGAATCGTGCAATTGTTTTCTGTGAATTACAGAATTCGTTTTGTTATCAAACTAAATTTTAATTCAAATAGTGTATCCTTCGTCGAAGACGAGCTCAGGTGTAACCTAAAAGCGGAGGAACACATTTTTCACTCCCGGAAATCGGACTAGCGTGGTAAACGGAATAACTTTCTTCATCGAAAATACGACTTTTAAGTAAAATATGCTTTTGGCCTATGTTATTAGTGTATTTAGACGAGCACTTTTCCTCCGTAAAATGGTATCCACTATGTCCTCAACGTTGATAATAAACTTTTTCTAAATTGAATGTTTGCTCGAGAAAGTTGAAATGACATATTTACGCGAGTTTCACGCGCCCTGAAGGAAGAGACGCACTCAAAATTTTTTTTTTATTCATCCAAAAACCGTTCCCTATGTGAGACCTGCACCCCAGTTTTGTTGTTGTTGCTGAAAATCAAGAATTGTGAAATTGTTTTTGTGCGTGGATCCATTTTTCCCCGTTGTTATTTTGTGTCCTGTTTTTACTGTCTGCAGGAACAGTTGGAATATGCTTGCAATGTGTGGCAACTTTCTCAATTCAGTTTTCTCCCATAAAAATGTTTGTAATGCAAACTTTGTTGCGCGTCTCTTTCCTGTAGTGCGGGGACTCACTGTGTTGCGTTGTTCGCTTTCCGACCCATTTGGCCCTCTAATTTCCCGGAACAAACTTCCACCTGAATCCCGGGAAAATATGTTTGTGCAAAAGTAATCTACCTGAGATGCTGTGGATTCAATTGTGCGCTACAAAGTAATTCAAAGGCATTTCGGTCTGTTGCAGTCGTAGCAAGAAATCTTCGTCAAACTCAGAGGACGCGCAAACAAATACGACTTAAATGTCTTAGATTACTTAGAAAATATTTGAGGTGAACGGCATTTTTGCAAATGTAAGAACAGAATGTTAGAAGATTACCTTTAAGATTTATCCTTGCTGTGATTTACAATATTCCAAGACCTCTCATGTGTTGATGCCCAGGCGGAAATACGGGATGAATTCCACTTCGGGAGGAAATTATCTCAATTAATACTTCCCGTGCTCAGAAGCAAAATAAATCAGTATACTGTCAAGCTTTTTGGCAAACTCACCGGTCGAACTCATCAACTCGATTTTGAGAGTTTTTGAATCAGTGAACCCAGTATTTTTCTACCGGGTGAAAATGAATGAAGGTATAACATAGGGATGTTCTGGTCTAGGAAATGCTAGATAAAAATGAGTTCAGATGAAGCTGAGATCAGTGAAATGGTAAATTTGCCCAGTTATACTCTAACTTCTTTATTTAAAGCATGGAGTTACATTTTTATTATTATCCTTCTATTCCCACCATTGGTCCACAGAATAATGGGCAAAAAGTCTCCACAAATTTGAGTTATACAGGGTTGAGGGAAAATTCTTCAAGTTGAGAAGGTCTATATTACCTACAGGATTTATTTTACGAATTCAGACCGGGACTAAAAAAAAGTCTTGTCAATAGTGCTATGTTCCTTTCTATGTTTACAAGGTTGAATAATAGGTTCATACTTCATATTTTCAATCTGTTGTCCGGTATAGTTAATAAATATAATATATAGTAATAAAGTTAATAAAGTTAATAATACTCACAGTTTTGCAATTCACAGGCTGAACCCTGAGTATTATTATCAACCTTTAAGACAATGACCAGACTGAGTGTCAACCAATTAATTTCAGTTTGCTCCCTTTTTACCGGGCGCGTCCCAGACCAAGTACTATACGTACTTTGTTAATTTTAAGCAATTAAAACACAAGTAAGTTCACTTTACCATTATTTTATTATATTCCCAACATTTGCAAAAGCATACGTTCCTGCTATGGACTCTGCTCCTCATCAGAGGGCTTCAACCACTGAGGATATTATATTCTGGTAGGGCCTCTTATTAACTCTGGGAACCAGACAGTAAAAGGTCATTGCTCAGATGCTGAAGTAGAGCCAAACAAAAGAAAGGAACAACAGAAAGTGTTCTGCAGCACAGTTTCACCATGAGTTAATTATACTGCTGTGGACCACCTCAGGCAATCCTTAATTGAGCTAGAGAGACAGAAACAAGGTTGCGCTCAAGTGTGCAGCTGTCCCTCATTAATGAGCAGGGTGAGCAAAAGTTAGAGCAATTCAGCACAGCTGATAACAATTATAATTGGCAATCATATAGTCATGGTGCCAGTGGTGCCCAACTTTTTTTCAAATATAATTCTGAAGATCACTTATACGACTTATTGTTGGAACTGTGCCTGAAAATTGACCTGAAATCTCTGGGATCGAGGCTGATTTTCATAACAGGTGATTTATTTGCAAGGGAATACGAATACTCCGGCATTCTTCTTGATTGAGATCCAGTTCCTTCAAAATCCGGCCCTCTTTCCAGGGCCACCAATTGTAAATCATTGATCATTTTAGAGCTGGAATGGGGGTCAGTTGAATGCACCCGCGAGGATTCCTTTTCAAGGGCTTCTAGACAATCTCTGGGTCTGCAAATTGCAATTCTAGGGCAGCCATATTGTTCATGTGACATTACAGAAGCTGGCATGTGAGCGGTTTCCTCGATTAAAGCCCAGTCTGCGGATCGAACCCGCCGAGGGAATCCCTGGCATGGATGACCGGTCGTCAGGCCATCGTAAATCACGAAGGGAACGCTATTTCTGCGTTATTTCGTGCCATTTCCGGCGAATCCTCTAGCGTGAGAAGGGTTTCGTGTCGGAATCGGACCCGTTTCTGGGACGAATTTTTTGCTCCTAACGCATTTCCACTCTTGAACTTTCCCGACCGGAACCGGAACTGAACTGATTTCCGCTCATGTCCGGGAGAATGCCGTCGTGTTCACTTGATCCTCTGCTGGCTGATCATTTATCCCGTCGTGGATTAGCTCGCGTTCTTCCCTGCGTGAATCCGCAGCTCATGTTTGCTTTCGGTCAGTAACGTGATTTAGAATAAGGCCGAATGCGCAATGGGTAACTAGAATAGAACATGAAGGGGCCTGCATTACGAGAAAAAATCCGATCCCAGATTACCTTCGTTACGCCGAATTTTCGTTGCGTGAAACGTGTTTTCCCTTAGGCTTACATCTTAACTGATTGATTTGATTCTAGCCACTCACCAAAAGACCGTGATGGAAGTTGTGTATTTTTCAGCGGAAAATTGTGAATTCAATATTGTTTAGCATGACATTGACGTCCTGACAACGCTTGCTCTTGAATTTTAAGATTAATATGAAGAAACAAATGTAAGACTATGCTTTTCTTCTCATTTTTCTTGACTTTTGTAAATTTCCAGTTAAAGTTGGAGTGTTGAAATCTCGCATTTTTTTGCGCAAAAATTTTCGTAATGTGGAATAATTTTGGAATGTTAATGTTTCCCCCTGAAATTATTGTTTTGAGGATGTTTCTTTGTGTGGGTCTTGCGTAATGCGGGGATTTGCTGTACAGTATTGTCATCATAACTTTAGTGAGTCCAAGAACAGGTTAAGAATACCCTGTTCTGAATGTGACTTTCTTATTCTTGTGTCCACATAGCAATGCACTGGAAATGGTGTACTGGAACATTGCAACAGTGTATTTTGACTGGTCATTCACAAGTCAAGGTTTACTGTATTTACTTGAGTACCATGCGCCCTTGAGTAAGGCGTGCGCAGGGGGTTTTCAGTTGAAAATTTTGCAAAAATCGTATCCCCAAGTAAGATGCACTCCCCAATTTTTAGTGAATCTAAAACCATAAAATTTAAAAATAAAAACAAAAAAATTGACTTTAGGTGTGAATTGAACAAAAATCTGATCAATTTTCAACTTTTTCAGCACAAAAATGTTTTCTTCTTATATTTGTTCCAAATTTCTCCATTATAATTAAGTACTGTATAATGCACGCATAACTTCTTTAAAATTTTGTACCCACTCATGACGTGCACCC